TAGATAGATAGATAGATAGATAGATAGATAGATAGATAGATAGATAGATAGATAGATAGATAGATAGATAGATAGATAGATTTTACTCTTATTTTACAGTTAAATTTCATGCATTTGTTGTGAATTTTGTCTCATTCAAGCAGGTTCACAATTACAAATTTAGATTCAATTGCATTTATTGCTATGCATAAAGAACCTGTACGACCATGAGGACCTATTTCCTGCTATCAACAATTTTCTGACATAACCTCTGCTGTAGATCTTGCCGTTCTTTGCCAAAGTTTTTGAAATAATTTGGAGTCATTGATTATCCTAAGGCCACCTGTTGTAATCATCCCTAATGTTATTTCTATGTGAATTCAGGGATAAGCAGGAACACCAACGAAACATGTATTTAGTGATTTCAGGTGAAGTTAACTAATGTTATGGGTTCACTCCTGTTTCGTCATATTAATGATGCTGCTCACCAGTATCTCCACAGTTGAAGCAGCCATGCAGCATTGTGTCTTTACTTGCCCTTTTGTAAAATCTTTTGAAAGCCTCACCTTCACTGTTATAAACATGCTGGTTGTCTTTGTGGCTGTGGAGCTGTCTGTGTTGAGTCTGACTTTTAAACTTTTCTCCAGAAAGCCTCTTATCTATGTGGGCAGCTTAAATTTGAGTGACAGTATCCTTGCTGGAGCAGACACTTCTGTTAACTGAGCACTTCTGCAGCCCACAGTGATATAGTTTTGTTATAATTGCTTTGGGATACTTGAAACTAAATCAATCCTGAAGTAACTGAAGCTTCTGTGGATCAATTCTTACTCTTAGATCTTCCATGACCTCTTGGACATTCACTTTTTCTAAGTATAATTCAATTAAGATAAAAACATTTGTATGCTGGGGAAGTCAAAGTAATAGCTGGTGGTTGCTCTTACATAAATTGAGCTTTTGAATTTTTTTCTACTTTTGTTGGAAAAAACATTGCTGTAGCAAAAGAAAATTCCTTAAATGCACTGAAATAATTACATTGAAGTCCACAATAATTTGATGTACACCTCTGAGCATACCTAAACAAATCACTAAAGTATTTGCTGATGAGCAAAATTTATTTCAAACAGGTTATTCAAAATACATAAAAAAAGTTAAGAATTTTACAAAGCAAACACATTACAAGCATCGACACTTGCGGCACAAATAGGAGTACATGGTTCAGAGATAGTAGGTAAAAAAGCACCTCTTTTGATGTTATAAAAAAAAACAATATCAAGTACAATTTGAAGTAAAAAAAGAAACTTTTAGTTTATTAACACTTTTTGTGTTTGTTTTTCTTCCTTTCATATAAACACACATTTTGCATTAGGGCATAAGGCACAATTTTAAAAGCATTTGGCATAAAGTCAAGAGAAAACAATGAAGAAAATAAAGGATGATACAATTGAGGCTGAAGCGACATCTCTTTGGTACAGCTGCATGATTTAGAAGAGACACACTATCAATGATCATGATAATGTTAACTCAACATTATGTACATAAAAATGTAAAAAAAAAACATGTTATAAATATGTCTAAAAACCACAGACACTATTTACATCTTCACACTGAAGGAAGGCAGAATTGCTTATTGTTTCACACCCAATGTATTTTTTTGGGATGTTGAGAAATCAATGTCATCGAAACTTAAAAAAAAGCATTGGAATCCACAAAACAAATTTCTGTGAAATGTTCTGGATGTAATGAGAAAACTTTAAAGCTTGGATTTCAGTTCATTGTCTGTAGGTGCAGTGGGCACAGTACGATGTTGTGTTTGTTCCCGCTGTGTTGCTGCTTTTAGTCCTTCTTCCTTAATACGAGATAAACGAGGCCACTGATGAGACTCAGAGGAAAAGCCACCCAGGCCAGCACGTAAGCGTAGCCATACTGTTTGTCACTCTCCGGTCTCATCACGGTGTAGATGATTGCAGCGCACATCACAAAAACACCTGGGAAAGATTTTTTTATGAAAGCAGGAAAGAGAGAAAAAGAGACGGATGAGGAGGGTTGCAGATGATGTCATAGCTAACACTGCTTCCCTTCAGGGTGTGGCTCCTGTCAGTGAGGAGGTCATACTCACTCGCAAAGAGTTGGAAGATGGAGGTGAAGTAGAAGCGTCCACCCTTTACCAGTCTGAACAGCTGATACAAGAAAGCTATCAGAGATGTAAAGCAGAAGATCACAGACAGGATCATGAGGGCTTGCACAGCTTGGATCCAATCTAAGAAAAAGAGACAAAGGATGAAATTAAATCTCCGCTATCTTTAACATAAATAGGACATTTTTTTTTAGCTATGGTTGTGCGGAAAAACCTTCATTGCTGGCGTTCAAGCAGTGGTAGCCTTGATCATCTGACTTGCAGTTATACCAAAGATCAGTGTGTACTCCTGTTGCTACAGTCCATGTCTACCAGAACATAAAGCAAGAAAAGAAAAAACAAACAGCAACAAATTAATATAAACAGTACTGTAACAACAACTCTTTCCCAAAACTACAACAGCGATGAAACTGCTGCACTTTTAAAGAACTTTCTAAATCTATGTGAAATGCTGCTGCTTACACTGGATGCTGTAGACACAATGAGAAGAATGAGAACGATGAGGTGAAAGACGAGCACTCCTAGCAGGATGAGCAGCATTTTGGGTGCAGATCTAGACAAAAGTATAAAAAAATATAAGTCAGAAAAACATTGATTGGTTCAGCACAATATTTGGACACCAGGGGGCGGCATTTCTTCACTTCTGCACCAACCGCAATGTTTACTTCAATGTGAAAGTGTCCCATTACACTCAAGAGAGAAAAAAAAGTAAAGGAGGGATATGTAATCTTAGAAAAGTATGCAAAGTAATGTTAAATAAAGTAAAAACTAACCCTAATAAACTACCAACTGTATTTAAAGGCACACAGACACTAATTATTTAAATATACAAACTTCATATTCATTCATAAACAGCATTTTTTTTATGGTTCTCTCTGTCAAAAAGCACTTTGAGTGAGAAAAAATGGTTTTAAAGTTTTATAGACGTATAAAAACAACTACAGACTGATTTAGAAGCAGTTAAACTGAAGCCACATGCGAGGGAAAACATTCCAGTAAGAGCAGTCATGCCTTAACTACGTCCGCCTCAATTAGTTTTCTCAGGAATGAAAACTTAAAATTGCGACAGAACCCCACAGCTTTGAAAACACAACAATTTTTCAATCATCAAAGTGAATCCAAAGCAAGATTTTGCATCCAAGAGAAAGAGAAAAACCTGTAGTCTAACCAGAATAAATGGATACTTTAAAGAGAAAGTTTTAAAATATAAGTCCAACTTACAAAAGGCAGAGTAAATGTGAAGAAAAGGGCGCGTTGAAAAGAGGTGAAGAAGTAAGGAGCGCGTCTGATCCTCTCTGCTTTCTCTTTCTGCAGTTACTATTCCAGATGTGTGAGAAGCAGCCCGGTCAGTCTGAGAACACCGCCCTGCAGGCCCTGCTGCTGCACGTCACTCTCTGAAAGGCTGCAACTTTCCAATCCCTCTTTACTCCCGCGCAATATGGGCTGTGCTGCAGCTTGGAGGATTGTACAGGGTGTCCTCTTCTATTACTTTTTTTAATCGAAAAGTTAAAGTCTCTAAAGGCGTTGGCCGGCTCTGTAATTTATAAAGCTGCGTGCTTTTTTTTTTTTTTTTTGCATTGTGACACACCTCATACTAAAGCTGCATGCTTACCATTTTATTGCGCCTTAAAAAGCCCAGATCCTGTCCACGTTGTTTGTGCAGTTTTCAGATTGTGTTCATCTTTGCTGTTTGAATTAAAAAGTGTGACATTTTAATTACAGAACTTAACAACATAAACTTCCTATTGTTTATGCATCCATGGTGAGCAGGTTTTTTGTTTTGTAATTCTTTTTTTTTTTTTTATAGCAAATTTGTTGAATCATGGTTGGATTCTGAATGGCCAGAAATATGTCTCTGATATTTGCTAAAAATAAAATGTATGCAAAGCGTTGGTGAAGGCTCCAAAAGATATTATGGTACACCTGGATGTGTCAGGAGAATGGATAAAAATCCAGTGCTGGGGGTATTTTACAAAAACCAGCAATATTCTTAAAATGTCAGAATAAAAGTAGTCATAGGAAAACAAATCAGAAGGTTTTATACTGAACAAAAAACATTGCCTTGCCCTTAATTCTAACCTTTTAGAGAACCTGTTAGGATTGAACGTTGAACTTTTGGACAATCTCAGGGGAACATTTTGCACATAAACCCATACTAAAACCTGGTAATAGCAGCATCATACTCTGGGGTTTAATTTCTTCCAATAAACTGTTTGTTTCACAAGGAAACATTAAAATTGTGCAAAGTTTCAGAAACCAGTCAGTGTTATCCTGTCCTTGTTATTGTTTATTTCGTCTTGTTTATGCGTTCATGGTGAGCGGATATTTGTTGGCTGATTTTTTGATTCTTGGTTGGCTTCTGTATGTCCCTGATTTTTTCTCTGATTTTTGTTTATGCTAAGCTTTGTTGAAGGCTTTGGTTGATGTTCTGGTAGATATTATTGTGTCCGTGGACTTGTTAGCCGTCTGGTTCTGGGTGTGTTTTCTGGGGGTCTTTTATATTCTTCAGCTGTCTTCTTAAGTTGTCATACAAATTAGGAGTTTTTATGCTGGGGTTTTATACTGAACAAAACATTGCCTTTTTCTTTGTTCTTTATTCTACAAAACCCTTAAGAGAACCTGTTAGGATTGAAAGTTGAACTTTTGGACAATCTCAGAGGAACATTTTGCACATAAACCCATACTAAAGCATGGTAATGGCAGCATCATACTCTGGGGTTTAATTTTTTCCAATAAACTGTTTGTTTCACAAGGAAGTATGGAAATTGTGCAATGTTTCAGAAACCAGTCAGTGTTAAAGCTTCGGGTGTCTTGGCTAGAAGACAACTTTCATTAAAAGAGTCAAAGTAACCAAAATAAAATGAAATGATTGCTTCATGAAAGAAACTAAAAACTTTTTGCAGTTGTCAAGACTAATGATAAAATTCAGTTACACAATCAGAAATATTTAAAGAAGTTTAGAAAGGTGTCATTCCACAATGCAGGATGCTGACGGGCTTCTACCCAATGCTGAAATTGAAATAAAGCTTGCTTTATTAAAAAGTCGTATGATGAAATCTGAATTTTCATTCTGTCAGGATTCAAGCGTGTGTTGGTGTGTATTCTCTACTTCTTCTGTGACCTTCTTTCCTACGAAGATTAGTTTGTGCAAAATATTTATGTGTAAATAAATGTTATTACTTTGAGTTGCCTGTGCATGAGGCATGAGGGTCAAGAAGTAAAATTTCATGTGTTGCATTTTTCTTAATATATTTGTTAATATTCCTTCTGAAGGAAAGAACATTAATAAATTTACTCTTTGAATGTTTGCTTTCAAATTTTACAGGACAAAATGTTGTATAATATTTGGAAAAGCTTCTAAAAGTTACTTGAACAACTGTTAGCGCTAAAATACAAATATGTTACAGTCCAACCCTTGTTGATGTGTAGTAATTATAGTTTAATAAACCCGAACAAAAAAGAATCTTGTACTCTAATGACAAATTTGCATTAGGGCATAAGTCACCGCAGCTTGAACTTTATACGACAGAATATCACTCTCCTTTAGTTAGTTTGCTATCCAGATAAATTATTATAAGGCATATATGTCAAATGTAAAGCCCACAGATTAAAGCCAACCCTTCAGGGCAAATTATCTGGTCCTCAAGGGTCAAAACAGGCATATCATATCATAAAGTAAAGGCAAATATTAAAGTTTACAAAGGAGGAAAAAAAATGGATTAAAGTTTTACCACAAGGACAATATGCTCTTTGTAAATAAAATAATAAAATCAAAAGTTACATTTATACAGCTAAAACCCCCCACTCCTTAGGCCTTGATATTAATAACCGAGAAGGTTTGACACCCTGTTTGTAAGGGATGAGGTTTACCCTTACAACAAACCAGCAGACGTGGCATTAGGCATCAGTTTACAAAACAAAGAATTGCTGAGACTGGATGATGCCAGAAATGACTATTTGGTTTTTCATCTGTGTTTTAATAAAATGTAGGAAAAAAAGAATATAAACATTTCTATTTTATAACATAATGGAGTTTTATGCTTGTGTGTTCTGGAGCATACTGTATATAAATAGCAGCAGTAATAGGCTTTAAACCTGCCACAATACTTTAGGATCGAGAAAAGTGAAAATATGATTGCTGATAAAAACGTTCATCTGGATAAATGCTACCTCTCAGTTTAATATCAAAGTTATTCAGAGAAGGGTGAAGATTACCATCATAGTAAACAAAGTTTACCGAGGTAGTGCAAAGAAGAAGTTTCTTATGCGCTATTTATTTGTCTGGATAAAAACTCACTTGCAGGCAGAGAAGAGTTAAGTTTATATTACACTGTTACAGAACAAACAAAACCCTTTTTTTCCCATCTATATGAATCATTTTGTGTCATTTGTAACATGAATGTGCCTTTTTTGTTATATATTCTTATAAATTTCTGAATCATTATTATATTACTTTGTTTCTCAGACCTTCTATGGCCTTTTAAAAATGATCAAATTGGTTCTGGCAGTCCACCACTGGTATTCTTTCATATTTTCCACCATAAGCTTGCTTTGCTAGAGGTTAAGAGATAACTGAACTGCCATCTTGAGTAAAATTGTAATCAAAATGTTTTTAAGTTTTTAAACAAAATAAAAGCTTCCAAAATGTATTTTCATAATGAAGCCATACCTGCAATTCAGCTGAGTCCGTATCCTCAAAGGTCTTCATGTTCAACATAGGATCACAGAAGGCTGATGCGGTTTTGTCTGAGTAACTATACCAGTGGTTCCGTGTTCTGCTCAGGTGTCGTTTGTTTGCACGTGTGTGACTGTTGCCGCCTGCCAACGATCCCTCTAGAGTATTTGTGATATGAATAGAATGCCTGTGTGAGAGTGAAGTGTAGGTTATTTGAGTCTGTGAGTCCTCTGTTTATTCCTGTGTCTGTGAAGAGATGGGAGTGCTTGTCCGGTGTCAAACAGAGTTACCGTGGCGCAATGTTTGGATTATGCTACATCAATGGAACGGCTTGAATCTCCACACAAACAAGATTTAAGGATGACTGACAAACACTGCCGGCCGCAGCTCGCCAGGACCCTCATTTCATACATGGTGGCCAGGCTGTGAACTGAAGAAGGATGACAACAACAGCGACAAAAGAACAAGTGCACATTTTGGACTGAGGTGTTTTACAAACCAACCCCAGTGCAAACCCGACTGCAGACATGAAACCAAGCCTGGGCCTCTTGCCCACTAACCCTTGAAGTTTTTGGCTCAGTCGTTTGGATTCCTGTGGTCTGTGTTAGTAAACACGAAAAGGAACGAGCCGTTAGCTGCTGCCCAGGCTCCCTGTAGGCTGCCAGGTGAAGCAGCTCTGTGTGTCCTGGCAGCACTAGAGTGAGGCGATGGAGAGCCCATCAACAACATGAGTGGTGCAGTTTCTAAATATCTAACTCAAGCAGTGGATGGAGGGGTAGAGGAGCAGTGCCAATTGCAGCAAGTTGAAAAGATGAACCTGGCAGATCAACAGGATGCAGGTGGGAGCAGACTTTGTGCATGTCATTCCAATGTATTTT